TGGGCGCCGTCTACACCCGCCGCGCGCTCACCCGCGCCGGCCTCTACCGGCTCACCGTGCGCGCCGCCGCGCCGCGCCACCAGAGCGTCTACGTGCTGCTCATCGCCGTGTCCCCCTACCCGTACTGAGGCCGGCCCCGCGGCGGCGGCTGGGGCATACCCTTCTCCCGCGTGCGTCAGCGGAGCTTCGGTCAACAGCGCCCAGCCAGCGGCCTTGACGCGGCGCCTGGGGCGCACAGCCCGTGGGCAGGGCCCGGCGTCACCCACCGCAGAGGCTGCCAGGCCTCGAGGGGAGCTGGGCAGGAACACATACCTGGGTCCAGGGAGGGGGAACTGGGGACACCACAGCGGTCACCCTTCCGCGCCTGGCACGGTCCTCCCGAGCTCCCTTGTGTTAGGAGATAAAGCAATGGTTTCTAACCCGCGTGGTCTGTGTGCACTCACTTTCCTCAGTGAGGAGGGGTGACCCCACCCCTTCCAGTCAGTCGCCCAAGAGTCGAGCCCAGCAGACCCACTTCCTCTGAAGCTCAGTTTTCTCTGAAATATGAATGTTGTGTGTGGCAGGCACCTCTCATCCCAGCACTCGGGAGGCTGAGGCAGGAGGATCGCCATGAGTCCAAGGCCAGCCCGGACTACATAGCAAGTTCAAGGCAGCGTGGACTGCATAGCGAGACCCTGTCTCAACAACCAAAAATTACGCACATCCTCCTGTATGCTTTACATCATTTAGATACTTAAAATACCCAGTACACGTTAAGCCTATGTAGATAATTGTTAGGCCGTTGTTTAGGAAGTACTGGCAGGAAAACGGTCTGTATGTGATTAGTAGACATCGATGAGGGCCTAACCTCACGCACACATCGGTCACGGCACGGGCTTCTGGCAGCCCTGGAGTCCCCTTTCCTGAGGGTCTTGAGCTGTGCTGTCCTTGCTACCTTAATGTCCTGAATCAATTCAAAACTTTTGCCTTTTTGTCATTTTGACTTTGGGAAGAGCCAGAAGTTGCAAAGTGCCAGGACTGGTGAATAAGGCGGATAAGGACACAGTGTCTTTTTTATTTTTCTTTTTCTTTTTTCTTTTTTTATTCTGTCTTTTTGAGACAAGGTCTCACTACAGCCTTGAACTCACTTTGTGGCCCAATCCTCCTGCCTCAGCCTCCCTAGTGCTGGGATTACAGGTCTGTGTCACTATGCCCAGCCAGCGTCGTGTTTTCACCAGCTTGCCTTTCCTTTGGGTGGCGCTCGGCGGCAGCATTCACTGTATTTCTGATCACACCTCCTAAAGACCCTCAGGAAAGAGGACTCCAGAATGGCTTCAGAAGGTGGCAAGAACGATGCATGATGTGCTCAAAGCAAGCGGGAGGATTTGGAGTGGGATTAGTGCAACGTGTCTGCAGTAAATCTCCAGACTCACTGTGTGTTCTGATCGCATCGGGTGTCCCCAGCGTGTGAGTGCAAGGTCTGACCTCAGGTGGAGCCCAGCAGGAGCCCAGGGCCGCTGTGTCCTCCCACTCCTCTGTCCTTGCTGTCCCTCCTGGGCCGGTGACGGCCCTGCCTTGGTGACCTCCCCGCCTTGGTGACCTCCCCATTGCCAACCACCCCCAGACGCAGCCTCTGGGAGCCCATGTCCTTTACACGTGGTTCTGGGGAAGAGGGTGCCTTTGCCCCTGCTCCTAGCTCCATGGGGCACAGTCCTGTGTCCCCTTCTCTCATCTGGGCCGCCGGGAGAGTTGACTGAGTCATGTCCCTCTCCCAGTGCGTGAAGATCAGACTATAACCCGGCACCCTCCCGCAGTGCTGGGGGAGGCAGAGGACGTCTCTGGCTCCTTCTCCAACAGAGAGGGAGGACGCTTCAGGAAGGAGGCAGGACCCAGTCACTGATCAAACTGGGAGTCTGACTCAGGCTGACCTCGGGCATTTCTGCTTTCAGAGCTGGTTCCCTTTAAGCCAGAGGGCTGCAGCCTTTTTCTATAAAGGCCAGATAGAAAATATTTTCAGCTTTGGGGACATCCAGTCTCTGTCACTTCTGACCTCTGCCTCAGAGGAGCAAAGGGAGCTTCAGATATACAAACAGACAGGTGCTGTGTGTTCCAATAAAGCTTTATTTGTGGACGCTTTACATGTGGAGGTCATTCACATCTTTGCATGCTATGGGGTTTTGTTATTATTTATTTACTTTTGAGACAAGGTCTCACTATGTAGTCCAGGCTGGCCTCAAACCCATGGCGATCCTCCTGCCTCAGCCTCCCCAGTGCAGGGATCACAGGTGTGTGGCACCATATCCGGTTTATTTTTCTTTCACCATTTTTCAACCACTTAGAATGGAAAAGCCATTCTTAGCTTGCACACAGCCGTGGCCCATGATTTGTGGGCCCTGATGCTTTAATCCCTCTGCTAGAGAAGCGGGTGAGGAGGTGGGGCGACACGGGCCCCTCCATACTGCATTGTCCAGGGCTGCCCTCCTGGGGTCAAGGTCAGATCTTGAGCCCTGCTGTCCACTGGGCTGTTAATTTTTATGGAGGCAGGGACTTTGCAGCCCCAGAGGAGAGACATGCTCGCAGATTGAAGACCTGCAGAGGGAGGTGCTGGCTCCACTCTTACTCCTGGCCTCTCATCTCCCCAGGCACCCGTGTCCCCCAGCCCCTTGGGTGTGTAAAATCTGTATTGAGTCTCTCTGTCCAGTGTCTCGAGTTTATTTTGCCCTCTTAATAGAGCAGATTGCTAAGTCAGGCAGAGACTGAGGAGCCTTGGAAAGGGGCCAGGCCGAAGAGAGCGCTGGAGGAGACATGAGGCAAACCAGGCCTCATCAAAGGCCCAGTGGACTGAAACGAGGCTCTAAGATGGAGACACAGTGGCTCGGCGGGAGCCTCCCCAGAGACAAACCCCAGCTGGCCGCTGTGCTGTATCCAGGAGGGCCCGGAACTCTGAGCAGAGTAGCAGGCAGAGACACACAGAAACAATGTAACACGCAGAGGAGCCTCCCTCTGCCCCTCGCAGCCAGGCCTTTGCTCTGGGTGCTGCCTGTTGGCTAAGCACCATGTTCTCCACTGGATACACATTAGCTAAGTGCCCACTTGGAATTCTATCGGCTGCTGATAGAATGTGATGGGATGTGAAGTCGTGGTCTCAGAGCCCCTGGACAGAGCGCCTCAGCGACCACCCACCCATGGAAGCCTCTTGTCTCCTGGGAGCTTTCTCTTAATAAAACTTTCCTGCTTTTCACCTCCTTTCTCTGTCCTTTGACAGGTTAGGAGTTAGTGGTACACCCCTGTAACACTAGGACCTCCTGGGGCAAGAAATAGTGTCCACATTTCCCTCGGAATGGAGGGCTCACAAAAGGTTGGGCCCCTGTCTCAGCTCACATAGCCAGGAGGGGTGAAGAAGGCCTCCACCCCGTCATCCCACAGACGCCAGGGGCAGGATGATGAGCAGAGATCTCAAGGGTGCAAAGAGAGTGTCATGGGGTGTGGCGGCACAGGCCTGTGATTCCAGCACTTTGGGAGGCTGAGGCAGGAAGATCGCAAGTTTGAGCCCGGTCCCAGCAATTTAGCAAGTTAGCTGGACCTTGTGTACAACAAACAAACAGGTCCGAGTTGTAACTAAGTGTGACGGCCTCCCACACACGCTGTAGCGCTGAGAGGGCGGCTCCCGTGCCTGCCTTGCCAGCTGCCCGCTGTCATTGGCTAAGGGCTGTCTGGCCACCACCCCTTGATGTCACCATCCCCTCGTGTCACTGACCCGGGCGCCACTGCACATGACGGTTGGGGTGGGGGTAGCCCTGCAGGTCACTCATTAAACTCCCTGCTGCAGCTTTTCCAGGAATCTGGCAACTGGACTCCGTGTCCCTTTGGGTGGAAACTGGAACCTGGGGTCCAGTGGGAGGTCAGTCTCCGTTCCAGGGACCGCTGCCCAGGCCTGGGTGGTGGCGAAGGGGCGTCTGGTGCCAGTTGTGAGTAAGGTGGCTGCAGGGTGAGGCCCTGGGAGCCTCTGTGTACCCGGGCTCCTGCAGGACCAGGACATGCAGGGCCCTTGAGTGGCAGGGGACAGGAGGCACCTTGTCAGGGTCAGTGGTCAGGCTATACAGGGACTTGGGAGACCAGTTCAGACAAGAGGGCAGAGAGGTCAGAGCCCACACTTTTTGGCGTGTATGTGTGTGTATGTGTGTGTGAGAGAGAGAGAGAGAGAGACAGGATCTCACTATGCAGTTCAGGCTGGCCTTGAACTCAGGGTGATCCTCCTGCCTCAGCCTCCCAAATGCTGGGATTATGGGTAGGTGAGGGTGGGAAGGCAGTGAGGTACTTGCAGGGCCAGGGCCTCCGCTTGTTCATCAGGCCTCTGTGTGCGGGGTGACAGCCAATGGGCGCTGAGCTGCTGCAGAGGGGGAGGGGACCCGGGCAGCATCTCCAAGGGCAGCAGGTACCAGGGCCAAGGGCAGCAAGAAGGCCAACCCAATGCACAAGCACAAGGGCCTGTGCAGGAGACAAGACAGCCGGGCCTAGGAGGGGGAATAAGGGCTTCGGGCTTCGGCCCTGAGAGTGACAGGGACCAAAAGTCTTCTTTATAAATCATTCCAGCCACTAATATTCCACGATTTACCTCTAAACCGTAAGTTTTAAAACAGAAACTACAACATCATTCTTAGCATACCTTAGAAAACAACAGTTACTCTCCGTGCACATCAAATGTCCTGTCGGTGTTCATAAAGTTTTTCTTTTACACTTAAGAAAATCAGGGTCCAAGCCGGACATGGTGGCACACACCTATAATCCCAGCACTCTGGAGGCTGAGGCAGGATGATCACCGTGAGTTTGAGGCCAGCCTGGGCTACATGGTGAGTTCAAGGCGGGCTGAACTATATAGCAAGATCCTGTCTTCAAAACAAAGAGAGGTTATTAACTGGAATTTCATATCAAATAAAGAAGCAGCCTTTTGACACTCATGTATGTAAATACATCACACGATCTTACACGTACACTTTTGGTTTAAACTAAAATTTAAATTCACCATGAATGAAGATTATGTCTAGCTGTAGCTGCCTACAAATTGACCCCTCATGAGCAATATAATTGCTCATGTATACAGTGATGGGTTTTTGAATAAATAATTACGGGGGTTTATTTTTAATGTTGGGGAAAATTAGGAAGCTATAAATAAATAGAGATAGACCATGTTCATGGGTTGAAAAACTTAATAGTGTTAATATGCCCACTTCTCCCAGGCTGATATATAGATTGATTGCAGTCATCAGTCAAAACTCCGGGAGGCTTTTAACATAAACTGGTGCTGCTTCTCCTATGGACAAGAAAAGACATAACAGATTTTTTTTTTTTTTTTTTTTTTTTTGATACTAGGAATTGAACTCAGGACCTTGTGCTTGCCAGGCAGGCACTTGTTCCACTGAACTACATCCCTGGCCCAAACATAACAGATTTATAAAGGACAAAAGTTAGACTGGAAGATTTACTCTACAGCTAGGGGCATAGCACAGGCAGAAAGATAGGCAAATAAGGGAATAAAACAATAACCAATCAGACCCGCATTTATATGGACAATTAATTTGCAAGAAAAGTGTCCACCAAATTAAATGGAGGGAAAGTCAACTAGAAAGTGACATTGGGGAAAAAAATGAACCATCAAAGAAGGGTAGGTATGACCTATTTGGATGCGTGTCTCTTGGTTTGGTTTGGTTTGGTTTGGTTTGATTTGGTTGAGACAGGGTCTTACACGTAGCTCAGGCTGACCTTGAACTCAGTATGTAGTCCAGGGCGGCCTGGAACTTGTGGCGATCTTCCTGCCTCAGCCTCCCAAGCGCTGTGATTACAGGCATGCACCACCACTTCCGGCTATGATTTATATTTTTTAAGAATTCTGTGGCCTGGCTTGTGTGAGGCCCTAGGTTCAACCCCAAGTACCAGCAAAACAACCACAAAAGCCTCTCTGGCTGTTGGAGGGGTACCCGGGGCGAGCAGGGAAAGCAGAGCGCAGATCTGGGTGAGAAATGAAAACCGTGTAGAACATAAGAAACCGTGTGAGAGGCGGAGGTGGAGAGAAAGGGCGCAGCCTGGACACGTAGAAGACGCGGACGCTGGGACTATGGCACCGCCTGCCTCAGTTTCTCCACCCGGCGGGGCCCAGGTGCTGCAGCGCCTCTGGTGACTCCTCCTAGATTGCTCACCTCACAGGGGTGCAGGGTCCCTGAGGAGCCCTGACCTGGGCAGTGAAGGTCAAGGGTCCACCAAGGGCCGTGCCCCACCTCAGGCTCAGGAGCCAGTGGGCAGGGTGAGGGCCAGGGCATCGCTCGGCTTGCCGCTGGCGATGGAACGCGGCTCCGCCGGGAGCAGGCCGGAACCCAGCACCTGATCCCTGTCCCCGCACCAGCGTCCAGCCCGCTGCCCCGTGCGTGGGGCCACTGCTGGCAGTGCGGGCCCTTACTGCTTCCCAGGAGCGGGTGCCCTCCTTGCCCCTCGACACCAGTGCCTGTACGGCCCCGGGCCGCAGCACCGACTGAAGGCCCCTGAAGTCTGCCACCCTGGGACGTGAACCTGTTCTGCTCACAGCCGAGCTGGAGCGCACGGTTTGGGCCAGAATTCGGGCACTGGATTCTGGTCCCGGGTGCGGCTTACATGCTGCGTGGCCCTGGAAGGGTGTGCCCAAGGTCTCAGGCTCCAGCTCTTTGTGGTGCTGCCCGCTTCTTCCTGGTCGTGGGGAAGGTCCAGCCCTGGGCCTGGCACCCAGACCCACGTGGTTCACCCAGCCCTGCAGCACCTGGGGCCGCACCTGGGTTTGGGTGCCAGAGGTAAGGGGGTCACTAGGGTCTGGAGGATGTGGTTTGGTCTGCAAAGTGGAGGCGACCGTCCTCCCCCGGAAGGACTCAGCGGCCTTTAGTTCCAGGCGGGCGGAGGCTGCAGTTACTAGGTGTTGGTGGAAGGGGTGGGACAGGCACTGGCAGGCTGCAGGATTAAGAGCCCAACGGTGACTCAGGGTTACAGCAGGGCAGGGAATGGGGCTGCCGCCCACCCCACGTTCAGAGCTGGCCAAGGACCGGGCCCCATCCCCCCTTGGACCAGTCCTGACTGTGGAACAGTGGCCTTGGGTGTCATCCTGGGTCCTGCTGGGTCCCTGGGTTGCAGGGCCGGGCGCTGCGGGGCCTGCGACCACGCCGGGAGCCCTCTGATGTAACAGCCTCTGAAGGCCAGACACCATCACGACTCCCAATTTCATTTTACAAGCGAGAGGCGGCACCTCTGCCGACCTCAACCTTCCCTGGTGTCCAATGGGTTAGCGGCGGGCAAGTCTCTTGCTCACCATTTACTGGGCGCCCTGGGGAATTTGGTCAGGTGCCAGGCTTTGGGGAGACAGCCAAGTACTGCCATCCCCAACTGGGGATGCAACCCGGCCTTCCAGCGCGGGGCCAGTTCGGTTTCCCGTGCAGGCTCGGGATGAGTGCGGCCGAAGGAGGGGCTCTGCGGGCTGCAGAAAGGCGTGGGACGCCGGGCACCGGATGAAAGCGGGCACCCACCTTTCTGAGCCTAAGCCACTTTCATCCCCGCTCGCGCGCCCTGGAGCGTTTGGAACGCTTCCCAAGCACCAGGCGGCGAGTCCCTTGCAAGACAGCCGCAATCACCCTGCCAGGGACGGGGGATCGCGCCACCACCTCGCTCCGAGGCGACCCGGCCTCCCGCCTGGGTCGGAGGCCCGGGCCGCGCGCCCACGCCCGTGCGCCCCCGGGAGGCTG